AAGAGTTTCTTCATTACCTGAAAATAACTCATAAACTGGAGGCTTGTTGTCTGGCACTAAAAGCAGTATCTCCACAAAGCCCATTTGTAAGAGCTCACAGTCAGTTTCACTAATTAGTTATTTTGTAATTGCTTTGGATAAAGTAATTTTACCCTCTTGAAATATGTGAACATCTTCAGCAAATTGTCTCAAAGTGCCATGTAATTATTCTATTTGTGATGATGTTATAGTTAAAAAAAAAAAAACCAAACAAAAACTTGCAGCTTTACTCCCAAATCAACAAGCAACTTATTTTGTCACTGTTAGATAGACAGAAGCCACACAAAGGCCAGCAGGTTTTGGAACATGGCTTCTGCACATGTGAAATGTGACAAGGCCCAAAAATAGCTTGAGTGCAACCTCAGCCTTATCAGACCAAGTGTGAACAGTCAGAGACCGCGACACAGGCTTCGACTGGCAGAATGCGGATCTCAGTAGTCAGAGCACGGGAGAAAGCAAACATTAAACCTATCTTGCAGATGGGCAGCAAAGGCACAGAGCAATTAAGGTTCTGATTTGGGAAAATACTTAAGAACATACATGAATCCCACTGAAGTAATTAAGTTCAGCTCCTGGGGAATGACTTTAATGAAACGAGACCTGGGAAATTGCCTGCAGCCACTCATAAGCTTAGGAGTGAACCAAAAGCGGGTTCTGTCTCCAAGGTCTCATTTTGGTATCTTCAGCTGTGTCCTTATTCTGTCTCACTGTGTCCTCCCTACTGGCTTGGTTTCTGACCAGAGAGTACAAAAGGAACTGGACACAGGAATGCAGAGCAGGAAAAACTGGTGGTCGGGGATGCTTCTGCCTGAGCGAAGAATATCAGCGGGGGTTTTATTGCTCTTACTTGTTTGTCTCTTTTCTTTACTTTCCTCTATATTTTCCTTTTTAATATTGCAAATTTAGCAGTTGAGAGGGAAGGAAGGACAGTGGTGGTCTGTTAAGCTCGTTTACCAGAGTCTGAACACAGGTTGGAGGGCACAGCCCTGGCATTTTAAGGTGGCACCATGGTCTTGCTTTCCATTGACCCTGCTGCTGCTGCTCCCCTCACTGTAACCTGCTGCTCTGCCTGCTCCTGGAAATAAAGTTGGGGGCTGAGCCCAGTTAGGCGTGCCACGTGTTTGCTTACAGGTGCTCTGCACAGGGCCCCCCAGCTCAGCACCAGCACCACCTGGGGAGACAATATGAGCAGGATAGATGTGTTGGTTTGAAAGTAAAACCAGTGCGAGACTCCAA